GATTGGACAAGATAGCAGGTGATGTCACCATGCTTTCTGACATCACTGGAGGTGGAGATGGAGGCTGCAGGAAAGTAGGATTTGAGATGAGTAGTATTTATTTATTTATTATTTATTTTTTTTTACACTGGGTTTTATTCACTATATGAAGCATTGAATAGAATTGCAAATCACAGGTTGGAATCAGCAGAGATGGAAACATATGGTAAGAGCATTTTTACAGTTTTGGGCTAATTTGTAATTCTCTTATGAATTCTCCTCAATGCCCTGTTTAGTAAACAAACTATAAACTGTATTAATGGAAATGTTAAAGGAAAACTAAAAGGCAAAAAAACATCCAATTTTTACAAATTTTTTTTTTTTTAAATAACGGTTTCCTTATCTTATTTCCAGAAGTGCATTTTCCAGACAGGGTTGAAAAAGGGTCTGGAAACACGAGAGGTATGGGTGGGGCTCCTCTCCTCCCTGCGCTGATCCCCGCAATATGTGGTGAGTGTCTTGAATGGACCTCTACTCCCCCGAGGGGTCTTTATGATCACCTTCCTTTTGTCCTAACGACCAGAACTCCTATTGTCTCCTCTTTCCACTTTCTTTTTTTTTCTTTTCAAGCCTTTTATATTCTTTTTTTGTTTTTGTCTTTTTGTTTTATTAAGATTGAATGTAAGAATACAGACAGTTATAAATCAATCTCATACAAAACGCATAATAAAGTTATGACATACATGTAGGCCTGGAGTGTCCTAGATCAAGATCGGTTTTTCATACAATCGGTGCAGTACATTGGGTAATGAATCAAGCAAGACAACGAGTATTGAGGCATGTTAAGCCCCTAGGCATTACCAATGGGAGAGAGTAAACCAAACCAATGTACGCGTCAGTGCGGTAGCTGTGAATACTTTTGCCTGCATATTACAAGGTGTATACGTAAGATAGATTATGTCATTCACCGTTCAGAAATAACTTAAATAGTCGCCTGAAACCAGCATGAAGTAACTATAGAACAATCGGAGCAGATTAATGTAACAGAGAGTAAACCTTGCTGCTCGAGCCTATAAAGAAATGTAGCATGGAATATTTAAACCCAGCACACCTTCCAGTCAGTGCTTGGTTATTTTGCTTATTGCTTTATACCTGCCTATTGCCCTAATTTCCAGCTTATGTTCCTGGTTCCTGATCCTTGATTTTTTTTTTTTTTTTTATATATTTTTTTTTTATTGGATTTTTTGAGTGCATGTCTCCATGTTTCCGGAGTACGGTAAGACCCTGTATTATATCATTGTAGTAACACAAAACGTAGTGTTATAAGGAAAAAGAAAGAAAGAAGAAGAAGAAGAAATAAAATATCGCAACATCGCAGCACTGAATACAAGTATAACATTCTCAGTAACAATTGTATTTGGCCTAGGATACACATTGGTTTCATATCTGTCACGGTAAACCTGCCGCCTTGGTCATTGATTCCTATGTGTGTGTGTGTGCGGTATAGCATGCGTCCAAGAGTTGTGGTATGTCGTTCTGGGTATCGCTGTGGTTCAGCCTTTTATACCCAGGTAGTTAGATTGTTGTGCCATAGGCGGAGAAGAGGACCTCCCATGCACCCTCTGTCCCACCCCCTGACCCTGTTCCTTGTCCCTTTCCTGGTTAGCTTCCCCCCCTCTTAGGCAGATACGGTGGTTAGTTAGTTTAGTCGGCCTGTCTACCTCTTAGCAATTCTTTCCAGGGTTGCCATATGTCTTTGTATCTGTGATATTTGTCTAACGATCCCCATCTTAGTTCCTCCATCTCATGAAAATGTTCTATTCTTTGAAACCAGTCTGTTTTAGAGGGCGGGATCGTCGATTTCCAGTGGTTCACTATCGAGCTTTTTGCCGCTGTCAGCATAAAGTAAACGAGGGAATGTTTGAATTTACGGTGTGGTATTTCGAAGTGGAGTAGTAGGAGTGCCTCTAGGTTGTAGGGTATGGGCGTGTCTGTTATCAGATTGACCGTGGTCCAGACTTCTTTCCAGAAGCCCGATAGCTCCTCACATGTCCACCATATGTGCTGGAAGGTGCCCTTATCTGAGTTGCATCTCCAGCACATTGGTGATGAGTTGGAGTCGAATCTGTGAACATCCACCGGGGTGGTATACCACTTGGAGATGAATTTATAGTTAATCTCCTGTAGTGGTATGCTAGAGTGTGCGTGGAAGATCGTTTGGAAGATATTCTTCCAGTCTCCTGCTTCTAAATCTTTGCCTAAGTGGTCCCTCCATAATCTGGTAAAGTACGGTAATTGAGTACTCGTCTGGGTTTGTAACAGTTTATAGCAGAGGGATGTTGGCTTGTGAGGCGTTTTTTCTCCCGAGCATAGTAGTTCAAATTTGGTCCTGTCCCTTGGAGTCCAATGTGATAAGCCCTGTGCAGTCAAGAAATGTCGCATTTGTGCGTACTGAAATCTCTGCATAAGGGATGGGTCTTTCCCTTCTGTCAATAGTGTGATTGGCGTCACTCCCCCCTCTCTCACTACCTCGTCTAGTGTCAGATGTGCCTTCCGTTGGTCGTCTCTCATTGGTTTCAATTGGAAGCCCCTTTTCCCTGCTATGAAAAGGGGGTTGTTCGTTATAGGGTATTTCGGAGATGGTGTTGGGGCAATGTCTGGGTAGCTGCGTACTTTTTTCCATATTTGTAGGGTTGGTGTTATCGTCGGGTGTGCTAGTGTCGTCCAGTCGTTACCCGAGGTCAGCAGCCATGGAATTGCCTTTAATGAGTCGCCTATCTGAACTTGTTCTATTGTGACCCACTCTTTGGAGGCGTTTTGGTATGTCCAGTCTATGATTCGGCCTACGTGTATCGCCTGGTAGTATAGCCAGATGTCCGGCAGGCCCACCCCCCCTAACTCCTTAGGTCTCGTTAGTATGTTGTACCTTATTCTTGGACGTCTTTTGGCCCATATGAACTGTGTAAATAATGCCTGAATTTTCTTAAAAAAGGTTCTTGGAATGGCGATTGGGAGAGTGTTTAATAGATATAGTAGTCTGGGGAGTACATTCATTTTTAAAATATTTATCCTCCCAAACCATCGGAAGTGTGGTTTATTCCATGCTTCCAGGTCCGCACTAATAGCTCCTAAGATTTGTGGGAAGTTAGCACCATATAATAGCTTAGTGCGTGGAGTTATATTGACTCCTAAGTATTTGATGGACTTTGTTGCCCATTGAAATGCATATCGCGTTTGTAGTCATGTCTTGTCCTTGTCTGGTAATGTGAGGTTCAGTATTTCACATTTGTCAACATTGATTTTGAAGTTGGATAGGGCACTGTATTCGTCTAAGAGGTCCATCCGTGTGGGAAGGGATTCTAGGGGGTTAGTGAGTGTAAAAAGTAAGTCATCTGCAAATGCCGATACTTTGTACTGGTGTGCACCCACCCTTATTCCCTCTACACCCGGCCTGTTCCGTACCGCGTTTAGCAAAGGTTCCAATCCCAAGATAAAAAGCAACGGAGACAGGGGGTAACCCTGTCTCGTGCCGTTCGTTATTTGGAACGGATCGGACAGTATCCCATTAATTTTAAGCCGTGCCGAGGGGTGAGAGTAGATTGCCTGGACCCACTGCATCCACCTTTTCCCAAAGCCTAGTGTTTCCAGCGTCGACAACAGAAAACTCCAATCCACCCTGTCGAACGCTTTTTCCGCGTCGATAGCTAACATGATGGAAGGGGCTTTATTGCTGAGAGCTTCGTGTATCAGGGAAATGATCTTCGTGGTGTTGTCTTTGGCTTCCCTAGAGGGGACAAATCCCGCCTGGTCGGGGTGAATCAGGGTTGGGAGCATAGGTTTCAATCGTAATGCCAACATTTTAGTAAAGATTTTGATATCTACATTAATCAGCGAGATTGGTCTGTAACTGCCGCATAAATCAGGGTTCTTTCCGGTCTTGTGAATAAGAGTAATATTGGCCTCCAGACTCGGTTTAGGGAGGGGTTTGTCAGGGCTTATGGAGTTAATCGCTTCCAGTAGGTGTGGGCCTAGTTCTTTCAGATACGTCTTATAGTATGTAGCCGAGTAGCCATCTGGACCTGGGCTTTTGCCCGATGGGGTGGTTTTAATCGCGTTCATGAGCTCGGTGAGAGTGAAGGGCTCATCTAGGGATCTGGCCAGTGTTTGGGGTAGTATTTTGTCGAATTTATCGCTTAGGTATGCCTTGTCCTGTGATGTACTCGTTAGATTGTAGAGTGAGTGGTAAAACTCCCTAAATGTTTTTGCTATCTCACTGTTTGATTGTACAATGTTGTTGTTTGCTGTTTTAATCTGGGGGATGTACGTTCTCTCCTGCCTATGCTTTAGTGCGTTTGCTAGGAGTTTGCCGCACCTATTCCCTTGGGCATAAAATAACTGTTTAGTCCATACCAGTGATTTTTTAGCCTTTGATTGTAGCAGAATTGTTAGTTCGGACCTAAGGGACAGAAGTTTGCGATGATCGGATTCAGACATGGTTTCCTTATGCGCCTCTTCTAAGTTTTTTATGTCTGTCAATAGCTCTGTCTGTCTCTTAATTCTCATTTTTTTAAGAAAGGAGCCCCATTTTATTAGTTCCCCCCTCACTACACACTTATGTGCTTCCCACTGGAGGAAAGGGGTTGTGTCTTGTGTGTTATTGTCTAGGAAATATTGGGAGATAGTTTCGGCAATAGCTTTTTTAGCCGTTTCGTCATGCAATATGGTGGTGTTTAGTTTCCACTGGCCTGTGCCCTGAGCTAGGGTAGGAATTTTGAGCTGTATCTGAACCAGGGCATGATCGGACCAGGTGATGTTGCCGATTGTTGCCGAGGTTACGAGTGAAAGGTCTCTGTGTGTGGTGATGAAATAATCTATTCTAGTGTATGTGGAGGCCGGTCTGGAGTAAAATGTGTAGTCTTTCGTGGTGGGATGGAGTGCCCTCCAGCAGTCCACTAGTTGATGGCCGTGCAGTAGTCGTTTAATTTGCGTTCTGGTCGGTTGGAGATGGTTAGAGTGTCGCGCCGTGCTATCTTTTTGAGCATCTAGAGATACGTTGAAGTCTCCCCCTATAATTAAGGTCCCTGTTGTAAGTTGTTGAACCTTGTTTAAGATTTTACGGAGGGTGTGACATTGTCGTGTGTTTGGAAGGTATAGATTGACCAGGGTCACCGGGTAGTTGCTAATCTGTCCCTGTAGTATAACATAGCGGCCTGAATCATCCGCGAAATGCTGGCTGTACACAAATGGTATCTTGGCCCCTATCAGAATGGCAACCCCGCGGGATTTGCTATGTGTGAAATTGTTGTAATACGCGTGGGGGTAGTGTCTATTGGTGAGTTTTGGTGCCGTGGGTCCTTTAAAGTGCGTCTCCTGCACGAAAACAACATCGGCTTGTATTCTTTGAAAGTCCCTCAGTGCCATATTCCTCTTTTCAGGAGAATTTAGTCCCCTGACATTGTATGAGAGTATTTTTATAGTATCTATGGTAGGTACGTGTTTATTGACCGTTGCTATGGCGGTACCTCTTGTGTCCATGGTAAAGTCGTGTCGTTGTGGGGCGTAGATGCCCGGCGGTGTGTGCGATATAAGGTATAGAAGCAAAAAAAAAAAAATCTAAACTTAGATGTAAGAAAACTTTTTAACAGCGAACTTGTAAAAATGTGACTCCTAGATCTAGGGGCCACGTATATCCGTTAGTATTTAACTAACTATGCAGGAGTCGGTGCTTAGTGTCAGTCACCGTCGGCCTTAATCGCCGAATTGGGAAGTGATGTCTGTCAGAGTGAAAGATGTCAGTGCACCGCTCGTAACCTTATTCGGTTACTTGGGGTGTTGTGTATATCGTTTAGCGTAATCCTAGAATGAAATGTGGCTTTCAGTCGTATTTGTTTTCCGGTGGTGTGTCAGTCTGTATTTCTGGTCTCTGCGACCGTTCACAATTACGCTTATGTTATAGCGCCGCCAAGCGCCGTAAATGGAGTACATGGGTTTCTTTTGATTATCCTTGCAAAACATGGCTTTTGAGCACCGCTATGTACTGGTTGGGGTGTTTATTTTTTTTTTCTCGTTTCGTTTTATTTTTTTAATATTTTTTTTATTTTATTTTTTTATTTTTTTTTCGGCAAAACAGCCTGAGTGAGCAGTGCGCATAGTATGTACAGCGAGAGATCATTACGTCCAATGTGCTATACTATTGAGAGGTGTAAATGCTTTCTCCCCTTTACCCCTATCGGGCGTAACAACCACCCTTAGTGCGGAGGCGTGTCCCGGAGGGGCCTCGCTTGGCCGGACCAAACTTTGAATCTAAATCAATGTGGTTAAGATTAATAATAGCCAATATTTAATATCTATAGACATATATATATATATATATTTTTTTTTTTTTTATTTTTTTTTTTGAGATAGATATAAAATAGCTCGTCCCGCTAGTTGGTCCTGACTCCCCCCTTATCTGAAAGCCTCAGTCCCATAACCGTCTCCCGGTGTTAATGTGTGGTAGACTATGTGTGCCTATGTCCCACTTTACATCAGCTGGTGTAGTTTACAATACTTGCGTCTTAAGGTAGCAACGCCAGTCATCGTCGTTCCGTTAGGAGTAGCATCCAGTTGTAGTGAGTCTCTGTCCTGAACCAGGGACACCACACCCGGGGACTTAAAAGGTCACTGAGGTGAAACAAGTCTCTCTTGTGGTGGGTGGTTAGGTGGGTGGGTGAGTTGTAGTTCATAATTTCAGGGTGTAGAGAGTCCAATTCCAGTGTCTCGTCCCGCTGCCCTTGATCTTGAAGTTGGCGTGAAGGGAAGCCGTTTCCCAGGTGTCCGTTTCCTCTCCGCTGCATTTCTCCACCGGGCTCTTTGCGGTTGCGCTTGTATGGCTGCTTGGGACCCGGGGTCATACCAGTCCTGGATCTCCATGTGTGGTAGGTCAAACGCCTTTAAAAAATCTGGTAGATCTTGTATTGTTGCGATGCTATGTTGTACTCCTTGATGCGAGGCGATCAGAGCAAAGGGGTAGCCCCAGCGGTAGCGGATTTCTTTGGCTTGCAAGGCTTGGATGAGAGGCCTCAGGGCCCTCCTCCCCTGGAGCGTTTGCCACGCCAAGTCTGGTAATATCTGGATCTGTGTAGCAAACATAGTTAAGGCCGGTGAATTCCTCGCCTGCTTTAGTATGTCCTCTTTTAGTGTATAGTAGTGAATTCTACATATTATGTCCCTGGGAGTCTCTTGTGGTAGCCCCCTGGGTCTTGCCGCCCTATGCGCCCTGTCCATTAATATCGGGGTGTCCGGGGCACGCTTCAGTATGTTATTGAAGAGGGCCTGGAGAACATCCTTGGTATTTTCCAGTTCCCCTTGTGCCTCTGGTACCCCTCTGACCCGGAGGTTATTCCTCCTGCCTCGGTTGTCGAGGTCCTCTGTGTGGCGTAAAATCTGTACTAGTTTGGATTCATGGGCATCCTGCCTCTGTTCCATATTGTGCAGCCTGAGTTGCATGTTGTCTCTGTCCCCCTCTAGGCCTCCCACCCGGAGCCCTATCTGGCGTACCTCTGTTGTGATGGAGGACAATCGTTCCTGCATGGATGCCTCAAGCTTTGCCAGCATGGAGGCCATGTCCTGTTTTGAGGGTAGGTTTTGCAGCATCTCCTGCAGTGTCGCATTCCCAGGTGGGTAGAGAGAATCGGAGCTTGCTGGGCTCTCCGGCGGGGAGACACGTGGCGAAGATGGCGGATCCTCTGTGTCAGCCTCTGCCAGCGCTCTCACTTTGTCTCGGAAAAATCTGCCGAGATCCCCGCTTTTCTTGCCGGTACCGGGACCCGGGGTCTCTTGGGAGGTCAGTTGTTTCTTCTTGTTGCCCATCTTGCTTTATTCTGTCGCTTGGCGGCTAAGATAAACCCGGAGGAACGGGAGCTTCGCAGAGATGCGACCGTTCACATGTAGAGTCAGGCCACGCCCCGAGTAGTATTTATTTAGATTAATTGTTACAGAGCAAAGGGGGGTGGACAGTGTGCACGCTGCGAGAAACTAGCCTATAACGGTTGCTATGTTCAGTACTATAGGTTCCCTTTAAGTCCTCATTTGTCAGAAGCAATGAAGAGCCAGAGCACATTTACAAACATGGACATCATGCACAAGATTCTGGCATCTCAAAAAGGCACTTTGGATGAATTACTGGCTCATATTGAGCATGGTCTGAGCAGATCAGCTGTTATTCTATGCAAATAGAGCAATGGCTGCCAAACATATTAGCCAGTATTTGCACTTAAAAAGTTAATGCATGTGCATGTATTACAAAGTAATGCATAGCAAGGCTATATTACTTATCGCCTTTTATTTTTAGTAATAATACAAATTCTGACAGTTTTTCTTTAAGATCAGTCACTCCTGCATTATGCACGCCCTACCTAATTCACACTCTGTCACTCACTTACTCACACACACCCCTCACAGATATGTGTGTTGTGTGTAATGCAAGTCATCTGTAATCTCTGAAAGGTGTGTGATACAAGTGTAGGCATTTGTATTGTCTCAAATTATTTGTGTGCACAGAAATCTTTTTATAACCCTAATAATTCACAATGTGCGATGGCAATTTGACACCTAGACTGTTTATAGCCAGATACAGTAAATGATAAACTACAAAACTGGCTTACATGTAAAACCGCATCAAGCTTCAATGCCAGCGTGTAAAATTGTTACAAACGCATTCATTCAATAGTATACTGCTTGAAAGCGTAGTTACTTAATCCACCAATCAGAGTGTTATGAGTCAAATTACACAGCGTGGGAAAATTCCAAAGAACTTTCCCACACTGTGTAAAATGACACAGAGCACTCTGATTGGTGGATTTCAAGCCAACCAATCAGAGTGCTGTGACAGGTAAATGTAGAGACTTACCTGTCAGTCTCTTCATTTACCTGTCAGAGCACTCTGATTAGATGGCTTAAACCCACCAGTCAGAGTGCTCTGCGCCTTTATAAGCCTTCCCCCACCCTGCAGAGCTCAGTCTGCGCAGAGCCCTCCATGGGTGAAGAAGGATTTTTATTTTTGTTTTTTAAGTCCGTCGGTTATTATGGAGTTTTTATTTGGCCTTTTTTGGGGCTGAAAAAAGAAGATTTTAGAAGAAAGAAAACATCAAATGGTAAGTTTCATTTTTTTTACAGGTACTTAGTTAATGGCCCTCCCTCATTATTTGTAGGGTGAGGGGGGTAGTTAGGGGTTAGTTTTTTTGGGGGAGGGGGTGACTAAGGGTTTGGGTGGGAGCCGGGGGGAGGACATTAGGTCCCCCCCTTATTCTAATTTAGGGCCCCCACCCACCGCTCAGTGGTCGGGGCCAGGGGGGAGGACATTAGGTCCCCCCCCTTATTAGTATTTAGGGCCCCCACCCACTGCTCAGGGGTGGGGCCAGGGGGGAGGGCATTAGGTCTCCCCCCTTATTCTAATTTTGGGCCCCCAGGAGTGGGGGCCAGTGGGGAGGACATTAGGTTCCCCCCCCTTATTTTACTGTAGGGGCCCCACCCCCCGTGCAGGGGTGGGAGCCGAGGGGGTCAATAGGTGGGACCTTTTTTTTATTTTAAAGTGAGCAGCCATAGGCTAATACTAATACTAAGTAATCTTTATTAGTATTGGGAATTAGGGAGTTATCTACCTATTCATTCCTGTCATCACATTGACTGGCTAAGTAACTTACATTTTATGTGAATGTATGTTACTTGATTGTTATAAGTGTTGCAAATGCTTACAGCTGAATCCTGGCTACGTTTGTATACTTTTTATTTAAAATTGTATACAGTATAACATTCTTCATTCTTCCACTGGGTAAGTATATTCTTCGGCACTTTGACACTTCGGCAACTTCGGAACTTCGGCACTTCACCACTTCGGAAATCCAGTAATTTCGGGACTTCGACAATTCGTCAATTCATCCATTCGGACCAAAACAAATTGCACCTGTCTAGTGCCGAACCTGGATGAATGGGCAAAAGTTCCCACAGAAACACTCCAAAATCTCATGGCAAGCCTTCACACAAGACTGGAAGCTGTTATAGCTACAAAGGGGGAACCATCTACATATTAATGTCTATGTACTTAGAATGCAGTCTTATAATAGTCTCTGTTGGTGTAATGATCAGGTGCCCCAATACTTTTGTCCATATAGTGTATATAGGGATACCATTTCAGAGTTAATTTACTAAACATGGAATTGTAGTGAATTGGAATAATAGTTGCAAAACTAAATTTAAAAAGTAATGCTGTGACTATAGCTTGATGGAGATTGCTTTCAAAATAATTTATTTTCCATACATTTTGCAATGTGACTTTCAATTCACTACAGTTCATGTTTTAACACAGTGCTCAAGGAGCCAAGTGATATCTATGAATATATACATCTTTATTTACAGCTGTCCTGTTTGAGTCCACTTTACAACGCATGTGAAAGCATTCTTGTCTACAAAATACATGCGTTACTCCTTAAACCACGAGAACATGCCTACATTTTGTCTTGACACATTTTTAAAACCGGTTTAGCAAACTTTCAGAGTTATTTACTTAAGTGAGTTCCAAAGGCCAGAGTAGCTGAAC